TGCAACCTGGTGGCAGTCGTGAGTCAGGGTGTAGGTGGAGTCAGAGCCGTGGGCTTTGGGCAGCGTGGACCCATTTCAGGGAGGAAGCGGCGGGCTGGGGGGTCAGTTCCAGCCGTGCATGGCCCTAGCCGGCTCTTCCCTCCTGGACAGATCCGAGCCTCACGCCTGGAGCAGATCGACAAGGAGCTGCTGTCGGCACAGGACCTGGTGCAGCAGACGGAGCCCCAGGTACCGAGAGGCAGAACCCAGGAGACGCGATGACCCAGGCGGGCAAGGGGGCCCAGGGCCTGCCCCGGGCAGGAATTGGTGTGCAGCTTCCCCAGACCCACATCGCTCTGGGGATGTGGCTGCAGCAGCGACCAGGGCGCGTTGTGGGGTGCTCCGGGTGGACCCCAGGCTTGCATTCTCCCGACAGGCCCTTCTAGCCGTGAAGCCCATGCAGGTGGATGAAGACCCTGAGACTGAGGTTCCCACACACCCTGAGGATGGCGCCCCTCAGCCCGGCAACAGCAAGGTGCGGCAGGGCCAGGTGCTGGGGATGCAGTGCCCCGGGGTCCGCCTCTGCTCACCCGCCCAGGTGTCCCCAGCTGTGGGAGCCCTTCTTGACATGGGGTTCAAGACTAATGGGGCCACTGGGGCCTGGCCGTATGGGCAGGGGGATCTGTCCTGCATGTTTGGGCAGCAGCACCTGGAAGGCCTGTGAGGGCGATGTGTGGGACTTCAACTTTGATGGGCCGGGGGCGTCACCTCAGTGACTTACACCCACTATCCGTTCCCCGGGTCGTGTGTGCATGTGGACGCCCCCCAGGGGTGAAGCTAGTAGGGAGAGCAAGCAGTCTCTTAGGCTGGAACGCCACCACATTTGGGGTGACCAGGAGTGGGGGCACTGCCCCCGGGCTGGGGAGGGAAGGCAGGCTGTCTGGGGCCAGTTGAGCTGAGTGCAGGTCCTCACCCTGACCCATCCCGCCCCTCGCAGGTGGAGGTGGTCTTCTGGCTGCTGTCCATGCTGGCAACACGTGACCAGGAGGACACTGCTCGCACGCTGCTGGCTATGTCCAGCTCCCCCGAGAGCTGCGTCGCCATGCGCCGCTCGGGTTGCCTGCCGCTGCTGCTGCAGATCCTGCATGGCACGGAGGCGGGGTCCGGGGATGGCCACGGGACTTCCGGGGCAGCAGGAGCCAAGGATGCACGCATGCGCGCCAATGCAGCTTTGCACAACATCGTCTTCTCGCAGCCAGACCAGGGCCTGGCACGCAAAGAGATGCGTGTTCTGCACGTGTTGGAGCAGATCCGGGCCTACTGCGAGACCTGCTGGGACTGGCTGCAGGCGCAGGACGGTGGGCCGGAGGGTGGAGGATCAGGCGGCGGTGAGTACAGGCCCTCGCAGGCCGCCCGGCCCGAGGGGCAGCAGCCACTGCGCCACGTGCCCGCGTGGATGCGGGGTACCCCCAAAACGTGGGTGCAGACTTCCCCTAGTTCTTGCCAGTGATTGCAGAGTGACTGCAGGGCAAAAGCGCAGCTGAAAGGGGGGCCGGACACCCCGTCTTCCTCCGCGTGCTGAGTGAGGCTCGACCCCCCTGCTGTCGGGGCCTCTGAGGCGGAGGCCCAAGCCGCCCTCATGCCGCGGTTTGAGGGGCCCTTGCAGGCCTGCGGGATGCAGGGGCCGGGTGCAGCGGCGGGGCACGGAGCTGGAGTGACGGGCTCTGCTCCCCGGCCGCAGCCCCGGTCCCCATGGAGCCCCAGATCTGCCAGGCCACCTGTGCTGTGATGAAGCTGTCCTTCGACGAGGGGTACCGGCGGGCCATGAATGAGCTGGGTGAGTGCCCCCCGCTGCTGCGCCCCCCCACTAGCCCAGGGCAGGCTCACAGTTGGATTCGTGGATAGTGCCGACATTTGCTTACGTGTGCATACAGGAACTGGGGCGCAGGCCAGAGGTGCGGGGCGGAGGTCAGGGATTCGCCAGGCAGAGCGGGGAGCAGATCAGAAGGGGCAACTGAGATACACTGCTGAGGGGAGCGGCGGGGAGAGAGGCCAGGTCTGCTGCGCCCCGGGGCCCCTCCCTGGCCAGGGATTGAACTCAGGCCTTGGTGGCGACAGTGCTGAGATTTAACTCCACCAGGGAGGCCCTGATGATCTGACTTTCCTGGTGAACAAAGAATCGTGTGACAGTCATCTGCCAGTGACTGCTGAGCAGGCCACCGGCTGTGCCTCGGTCATACGGGGCACACCCTGCCCTTAGTGCTCAATGTCTGTGATTTGGGGGGTCCTGTTGGGAACCAGGGGGCTTCCCTGAAAGCGTGGCTAGACCTGGGAGCAGACAGAGAGCCAGAGACCTGGGCAAAAAGCGGGGCGAGTATCCAGGCTCGAGTCACAGCCCGGGCTGGCTGCCAAGGCGCCGTGTACAGGGGCGGGCACGGGGGCGGGCACGGGGGCGGGCAGCTGGGGGCAGCGCTGGACTCACGGAGAGCAAATCGCGAGGCGGATGGGTGTCTAGACAGGGGACTGGCTAGGCAGGGGCTGGGGTGAGGTAGGTGTGCAGGGCCCTCCGGGGCCCCACCTGTCCCCAGCCGCGTCCCCTCCCTGTCCCTGCAGGCGGGCTGCAGGCCGTGGCGGAGTTACTGCAGGTGGACTACCAGATGCACAAGATGACCCGAGACCCCCTCACGCTGGCTCTGCGCCGCTACGCGGGCATGACGCTCACCAACCTCACCTTCGGGGACGTTGCCAACAAGGTGCCGGGGGTGTAGGCCTGAGCCTCCTTAGGCCTCATCCCAACCTTGAGACAGCCTGAGCGGTGGGGCGGCTGCCCCCAGCTTACACATGGGCAGACTGAGGCCCAGAGAGGGAGGGGCCGCGGCCGGACTCCGCTGGCCAGGCCACCATCCTCTTGGCCCTCTGCCACTGCCCTGCGGGGAAGGGCCTGGGGCAGGTATTCCGCGCTAGTGGGTGCTAGGTAAGGTGGGAGGAAGCTGGAAGTGGGGTCAGTCTCCCTCAGGCCCCCACCGAGGTGTGGCTCTCCTGTCTCCCCAAGGCCACGCTGTGCGCACGCCGGGGCTGCATGGAGGCCATCGTGGCCCAGCTGGCCTCTGAGAGCGAGGAGCTCCACCAGGTACCGAGGGGGCGGGACGGGGTGCTGCCCCACCCCGCGGAGTGACATAGCCCAGCCCGGCGGGGGAGGTGCGCTCCCTGCCCACTCTGTGCCCCCCAGGTGGTGTCCAGCATCCTGCGGAACCTGTCCTGGCGGGCTGACATCAACAGCAAGAAGGTGCTGCGGGAGGTCGGCAGCATGACCGCCCTGATGCAGTGTGTCCTGCGGGCCTCCAAGGTGGGCACCAGTGGCCTGCCCGGGGGGGCCTCCATGGTGGAGCAGAGCCACAGACAGGGCGGGTCAGGGACAGCCCGGTGCAGAAGTTCCGCTGCGAGGGACCCGCCACGAAGGCGGGCCAGGGGCTGCCCCGCTGAGGGCCGCGTGCTGACCGCCGACCTTCGCTCTTCTTGCCCAGGAGTCCACCTTGAAAAGCGTGCTGAGCGCCCTGTGGAACCTCTCGGCGCACAGCACCGAGAACAAGGCGGCCATCTGCCAGGTGGAGGGGGCCCTGGGCTTCCTGGTGAGCACGCTGACCTACAAGTGCCAGAGCAACTCGCTGGCCATCATCGAGAGCGGCGGCGGCATCCTGCGCAATGTGTCCAGCCTCATCGCCACTCGCGAGGACTACAGGTGGGCAAGGCAGGGCTGCTCGGGGAGGGGAGGGG